ATTTCCCCCCAGGAACTTTCATATACGATCAGTTCCACCCAAACTTTCAGCATCTCTCTATGTCTCCCTCGAAAAAATAGTTCTACAATTATTTCTCCCCATGTCTAAAGTTCGAAACTTACTTATCCACATAATCGAAGTTCGAAACTGATTTAAACATCGAGTTGGGTTATTGTTGGTTTACTGTAGACCAATCTTATTTTAACCAATAAAAACAAAATTAAACCAATTACAAACCAAACTTAGTATCTCAGTACACTGTTATGCTTTGTTTCTATCTTCTTCTTCTTCGTCTTCTCGTCGCGTTATGAGAGATGGACAAGTGGTGGCAGAGCTTTTGGTGACGATCAAAGAAGCCAAAGTAATCAAGAACAATTCAAATTACGGGTAAGCTACACAGCAGACGACATAACAAATTATTGCAGATAGACATAACACTATTTTGTCTTTTGACCCAAAGAAGAGCATCCAATGCGTTGTTGTATTGAGGTGGGAGTCTATGTTCAGGTGCTAAACGGTAGTTCACGGAGACGATAATCACCGTTAACTCATTAGCCATCTGAGAGCAACAACGGTTATTGGCGGCGGAATTGGCCGGGTAAAGGATCCAACCGAAGCCGTGGAGATGGAGGATGATTGGGAGACGAGCGACGTCGTTATCGTTGGACGGGAGATTGGTTGGTCGGAAAATAGGTACAGAAACACCGGTTTCGTGGTGGTTCTTCTTCTCCTTCTCGTTATGTCGATGGTTACGAAGCTACTAGTCGTCGTATCAGTTCCGTTGGATCTAGATCTAAGGTTTGTTTCTCATTCTTGATTATGTTCTAATTTAACTAGTCTGTTTTGAACTCATCAAAAAACTTCTTCTTCTTCTTCAGTTATGAACTTGATTGTATCGTAAGAAGAAGATGATATCGATCTGGGGATTTTTGTTTTGGGGATTTTTTTTTTTTGAGGTTTTAATCGGGTTAAGGTTTAAGTTAAATTGGTGTATGATTGGTTTAATTTGTTTTTATTGGTTAAAAACAAGATTGGTTTACAGTAAACCAATAATAACCCAACTCGATGTTTAAATCAGTTTCGAACTTCGATTATGTGGATAAGTAAATTTCGAACTTTATATATGGGGAGAAATAATTGTGGAACTATTTTTCGAGGGAGACATAGAGAGACACTGAAAGTTTGGGTGGAACTGATCGTATATGAAAGTTCCTGGGGGAAATAGATCGTCGTTCCACAAATGGAACAAATAAGTAAAGCAAAGTTATATTTATACTTTTCTTAGATTATTAAGAGAAGAAACAATGCCTAAACCCTAACTGCAGTTTTTGTTTAGAGTTTGGCAGATGTCACAACGTATGTGGACTACTTGTATTGTATCTTAATCTATCCTGATTTAGTTTTGACCACAAATTGTAATGATTTTGACAAATACTATATATAAAGCTAATAAGTAAAGAATTTTTATATTTATATATTTTTCTAAATTTATTATAAACTATAGATATACATATATATATATATTAAGAACACAATTTAAATATATATATATATATATATATATATATATATATATATATATATATTAAGAACACATTTTAAATTTAAAATAAAATAATAATACATATGTCACTTTGCTTTGGGTTCAAACTCATTATTCTCTAATTATTTGGTGCAATTCATTTCATGTAAACAATATGCGAACAAGAAATATTTCCATAATAATAACTTTCCCTCTTAAATATTTCACCAATTTCATATAGTTCTTATGCACTTCTACGTGCCCTTTAGAGGAATCTAAGCAACGAGAAGAAGACAACACGATATGTTTACTCTTCTGTCTTCCATTACGATCATCAATTAATTCCTCCAACATCTTGAAGAAATAAGAGAGGAAAACGAAAGAATCATCTCTATGACTGTATTAAATTATATTCAATTTGAAAGAAAATTGTATGCTTTATTTACTCAAGCAATTTGTTCATTTTACCACATGATATACAATAAAACCATCCATTAACGTCACAATATGGCTTATCTTCCTTTAGTCCTTATCTACCACTATTCAAAACATAGGCTAGATGAAAAGACATCTCACAAGACTTTCTTACTGCTCATATGAAAAGGATGGTAAATCTTGTGATTATTCTTTCCAACTAGATTATGTAATAAACTGTGATAAATTTGGTTTGAAATAGGATAAACCTATTTGCTGTTGATGATTGGTTCCATTGTGTCTCATGCGGTAAAAAAAAACAGCTTGATTAAGAAAATCAAGCATTCAGTCTTCTTCGATTCAAATTCTACGTTTAACTTTAATGCAATTTAGATGTATTTTTAGTTTTTATTTTTATTTTTCTTTTCCCTCAAATGTTGGATAAACCAATTGATTATGGCAAAGGAAAAGATAAAAGTAAACATACTTTGTGATAAAGTAGGCACTTGATATCTACAAAATCAATTCATTGTTTACCCCACAAAATCACTTAATTGTTTACCCCACAAAAATCTACAACATCTCAACCAGTTTTGAGAAAATTTGAACCAACCATAAGAAAAGTGGTAAAGTAGGTACTAGATATACATGAAAGATATGATTTGTAAGTCGTGACCTTGTTGACTGTTGTGTTGTGCTACCACATATGTCTCGACATGCTTGGATATATTTATGTATAAAAAGGATGTGAATATATTAAAAATATATAATATATAATAAATGAGGAGATAAGAGTAAAAAGAATATACTTGAAAGATCGGATTCAAGAGCGTGTCGTGCCACCACATTTCCTGCATCCCTAGGGATTCTCTTCTTCATCTTCAACAACGGAGATAAGTCTTTTTGGGCGGCTGCGTGACACTTCTCCTACAGTTATGGATTTCAAAAAAGGTGATATGTCTCGAGACTATAAATGAATAGAGAAGATATCCTAAATACAGTAAAAACAGTTTTTGAATATATTGAATCAGCCAAGCCATTGTAAAGAGAGACTGTAAAGCATATATCTAAAAGATGTTTTGGTGCCACCATATTTCCTCTACAGCATTCTCGCCTTTGTATTCTACTTAATCTTCAACACCGGAGACCCTAATTACAATCAACCATATATCAAAACAGTTCTGAAAATACTAAATCAACCAAGCCATCTTAAAAAGAGATGGTAAAGGAGAAAGAACAATATACCTAGAAGATATGATTAGGTCATGAGCGTGTAGTAGTGCCACTACGTCTCCTCATCTCCTCTACACCATTCTCGTCCTTTGGATTCTTCTTCATCTTAAACAAACGATACATGTCGTATGTTTGTCTCTTTGACGCTCCTCGAACGGCGTTCTTGTCTTATGATTGGCTATATATATGCATAGAGAAGAAAAAGGGGCCTAAACCCTAATTACATTTTCTTTTGAGTTTGACAAATGTCACAATGTGTATGGACTTCACTAATTTTAATCTTATCATTTACATGTATCTTATTTTAATCTCTTCTGAATTATTTTTGACCAAAAAGAGTAAAAAATACCTCCTTAAAGTAAGAAATTTTATATATCTTTTTACTTTAGCAGATGTCACAACGTCTATGGATGAGGCTTATTTTAATCTTATCATTTACAATAACTTATATTAGTCTCTCTCATGATTTCATTTTTACCACAAAAAGTAAAATATCAACTAATAAGTACAGAAAATTTATATTTTTATATTTTCATATACATTTTTTTGTTTATATAGAGACCCCATAAATTTTAAACTATTAAAATTAAAATATGAAAATAATTTTTTTTGTTATATATGTCACTTTCCGTTTACGAGTTAATACTATGTAAGCTTTGCATTTCAACTTGGTTGTAATGAGCGAAGACTATATATATATATACGCTTTTGCTTTTATACTGCTATCAGAGCTGCCTCGACCAAATCTCAATGTTAAACTCATAACAACCAAAACTCAATCTCTTTAATTAAACCACAATATTACATTATAGTCTTCTAGTGGCATTGAACCAAACATACACAAAAGCACTTGAGATGTGGAAATAAAGAACTAAAAAGGTGAAACAAAATAAACAAACTAATACCATATCTTTTAAACTCATTACTTCAGCACTCAGAAACCAACGTTTTGGCACGTACATAAGGGACACTGTACCCTAGTTGTGTTGTATATAATCTTGGTAGACTCATATTCTCTCATTCTAGTGATATAGTATGATATTAAGATAGTGTTCTGGAGTGTTCTATTTGGTCTCTTGCAACTTCATGAATAGACCCTTCCATGTTGTTCGTGGATTGTAGATGAGAAAGCATGTACTTATTTAATTTATAAAAGCAATCATTTCTTGGATTAAGAATAGCTCTACGATATGTTTACGCATCCCATTATCGATAAATCCTCGGGAATATAGATCTCAACCTTTTCCAGTTTTAAGCTCATTAAATTCGGCAGTTGGAAAAAAATTAAACTGAATCATGAATGTTAACCTCTTTTCATGCACATTTATCAAAAATCGATTATGCCATTATG